AGAGAAGCCGCCGCCCCGCATCCCCGTGGACCGGGAGGTGGCCACCCCGCGCTCGCTCGCGCCGGCCCCCTCCCCGCCTGGCAGCTGGGGCCTTGCCATCCTGCAGGATGTCGGCGGCGAGCGAGGGGGGGGGAGGAATCGAGAAGGAGAAGGCCTCGTCAGGAGGCGGCGGGGCTCCTCGGAAGCCTTCGGGCCCTCCGAGAGGTTTTCCGTGTCTTCGGGGCAGGCTCAGAACACGCTTCAGAAGGCCGGTGGACCTCCGAGCCTTCTGACAAGGTCCCCTCCATCTCACTTCCCCCCTGGCTCGCCGCCGAGGATGGCCTTTCCGCGGTGGAGCCCGGTCTTTGTCGCTTCGGCTGCACGTAAGGAGTGGCCCTTCGCCCGAGAGACCTCTGGTGCGCGCTTTCGGGGGGGCGCTGCGGAGCCCTGCTCAGGCACGCAGGCCGCCACCGTCGCACCGCACGCAGCGGCCGGCAAGCCGCGCACCAGAGGCTTGCCAGTTCGAGACATGACCCTGTTGCCCCCATGCCTGGCATCACCTCACCTCGATACCGATCTCAGGGCTTCTCTCGGTTTCTGAGGGCCCACCCCTCAGGTTGCCATCGCTTTCGGCTTGCCCACCTCAGGAATACAGTGCCGTTTTCAATACATGCTCCGCGTGCGGATCGTGTATTCAAAATCCAATATGTTTACAAATCCTATGCATTAAAAACTGCCCTGTAGGGAGCAGTTCGAGGCCGGTTGAGAGGTCCCTCCGGTCCCTCTTGACCGGAGGGATGGTGGTATTATTCTGGCTTCCAAGGTGACCGAAGTATCACCACCAACCCCGAAATCTAGGATCGTCTTCCCACACTGGGGGCAAACCCCTGTGTTGGTGTTGGCGCCCACTTCCAGGCCTCCAATGGGGAGCAGTTCGAGGCCGGTTGGGAGGTCCCTCCGGCCCCTCCTTGCCCGGAGGGTCACTTCTGGCGCGCAGCCGACCGCCGGGGGCGGCAAAGAGGGGCGTGATGACTAGGGGGGGGGGTGGATATCATGGCGTGGGCCATGATAGTTCCCCAGATTTCGTGGCGCCTCTTCTTATTTCTTTACGCCCCTGGCCCCCCCGCTGGGCCGCGCACATGCCGCCGGTCATGATTTGCACCCCCCCCCTCTTGGACACCCCCCTCTTGGCCGCTCCCGAGACCGCTGCGTGCCCGACGCCCGGAGACGCCGCCGTTCGGGGCCCGCGCGGGGGAGCGCGGTGGCGGACGGCGTCCGCGGGGCCCTGCCGCGCGGAGGCGCGCGCGCGCAGGTCGCGGCGCGGGGCTGGACCGCGGCGCTGTTCTGCTGGACCTCGGGCGCGTTTCGTCCTTCCTTTTTCAGGAGGGGAAAAAACACACACAGACACAATTAATCCTCGATTCACCAGAAAATATGGTAGAAGATGGGCAGTGGGGGGGAAGACAGAAACCCAGAAAATATACGAAAATATGGGGAATCTGGTTATTTGTGTCTGTTTATTTGTGTGTCCTGGGGCCCCTTCAGTTTTGCTGGACCTCGGGCGCGTTTGGTCCTTCCTTTTGGCAGGGAGGTGCAGGAAAACGGGCAGAGCAAAACGGACCACACAACGAAGCAAGACAACGGAGCTAGGGGGCCACATGCGAACCCCACTCCCACCCCCCACGATTTCTGAGGGGGGGGGGTCACTCCGCTCGGGAGCTCCCGAGCGAAGTGAGCCCCACCCTCCCCCTCAGAAATCGTGGGGGGTCGGGGTGGGGTTCGCATGTGGCCCCCTAGAAGCACAGCGCTCGGGTCCAGCCCCGCCGTGGGGACGGGGGAGGGGCACGCGGCAAGGTCGGCGCCTCCTCCGAGCCTGTCGCAGCCGTCGCCCGTGCGAGCACGGTCTCTCGACGCCGGCCCGTGCGCCCGATGCGCCCCGCCAGCAGGGTTCAGTCGGGCGTGTCCCCCTACAGGGGGGGGATATTCAAAAATAGTCAAACAAATACTCTGGGGACGATTTAGGACCATAGTCAAAAATAGTCAAAAATAGTCAAACATAGTCTGGGGATAGTCAAAAATAGTCAACAAAATAGTCGGGGGACGATTTTTGGACCATTGTTGCATACTTGAGGGTATTTTTCTTCTACTATCCTTCATTTTTCGCTCGAAATCGGCCTGTAGGGGGACAGGCCCGACTTCACGGCAGGGCGAGGAGCCCGCGTCGTTGCCGGCGGGGAGGGCGCCCGGGAGCTCGGGAGCGCCTCGGCGACGTCGGGCCTCTTCGCCTGCCCACGCCCTCGTTGTCCACGCCCTCGGTGCGGCGCAGAGGCTGGGCGAGCGGTGCGATCGAGGTGGGCACGGCAAGAGCTGGCTCGAAGGTTGAGGCGCTGTCGGCGTCGCCGCGGCCGCTGTCCACGCGAGGCAGGGCAGGTCGCCGGCCCCACGGCGCCCGCCGTCGGCGGAAGCCAGCTCTTGCTGTTGGGCGGGGTGCCCTTTCTTTCCGTACCCTTTTTCGGGCGTCCAGCGGCGAGGGGCCCGGGCACCCAGGAGAGGGACGGGCACGGGTCAGGAGAGGAAAAAGCACACAGACACAAGTCATCCTCGATACCCCAGAAAATATGGGAAAACATGGGAAGTGGGGGGAAGGCAGAAACCCAGAAAATATAGGAACATATTGGGGATATCTTTATTTGAGTGTATTTATTTGTGTGTCCTGGGGCCCCTTCAAAGGGATCAGGCCCTGGGGCCCGTGCCCCGTCGGCTGCACCTCGGCGGGGGCTGCCGCGGGGGAGCACCGCCGTTCCCCGAAGGGCCTCCGGCGGTCTGTGAGCTGTGGCGGGGAGCAGCGGTCGACTTGTGCAATTTGCGGGGCTGAGGCTGTGCGTGTGAGGCGTTCCAGAATCACCACCCACCAAACCACCCCAACCCAACCCGAAGGCCTCAATTTGACCTCCATTTCCAGTGGGGGGGGTCGGGGAACATGGAGAAAACACGCATGGAACCCGTACCCCCCCCAACCCGAAATTCGGGTCTTCGGGTTGGGTTGGGGTGGTCTGGTAGGTAGTCACAGAAAGGGCCTCGCCGTCGAGGATCCGAGGAGTTGGCATCTCGTCCTCGGCGGCAGGCGGCTGAAAGCAAGCGGAAGGCGGCGGAAGTAAAGCGCGGGCGCCTCCGCCAGCGGAAGCCAGCGGAGTTGACCTTGTGTCCCCAAGAGATGGCAACCTATGGCAATCCTTTCGGGTTCAGGACTTCCGGAACCTGCAACGTGTCCTCGCGCCAGATGTTCGACATTTCGGGGGGCTGTCGTTTGCCACCATTTGTTCAGCTCCAGATTCCGGTTCGGGTGATTCACGCTGGCAATGTGTCCGACATTCGTAAGGTCAAGCACGTGTTGTCACACGTATCCTATGTAACTCATAGTTCATGAGCTCAATATCTTGCTTGGCGTGTGCGCTGAGCACTGCTCGTGCGAAGCGTCCAGAAGGGGCACATGGCTGATCTCGAATTTGTCTTGCGATAGATAGAGGCGGTACTTCTACCACAGACGTCAGAGGCCCATCGTTCGAAACCGGCAGGCATCTCCGCAAGATTGGCTTTTTCGATTGGCTTGCGGAGACACCCAGGTTGAGGATGCCCGTCAGTATGTCAGAGTTGTGTGTACGTGTGTGTGTGTGTGTGTGCGTGTGTGTGCGTGTGCGTGTGCGTGTGCGTGTGTGCGTGCGTGTGGGTGCGTGCGTGCGTGTGTATTTCTCGTGCGCGCTGGCATTTGGGTCCAGTGCTTGCTCTTTATCCACAATGCTGGGTACACTTTGAAACATAGCTTGCGCTCCATCCTATCGCTCGCTATGGTGACCTCACCTGGCGGGCGTAGAAAAGGTGCGTGTTATACATGCGTGTCTATATCTGAAAGAGCGTGTTCTACCGCTGCTGGCGGAAAACCGGGGGGGGTCACTACCGGTTCGAACCCCTCCCCCCCCCCCCCCCCCTCCGGAAAAACCGGGGGGGGTCACTACCGGTTCGAACCCCTCGCCCCCCCCCCCCCCTGCTCATCATGAAAAGGGGGGGGGGGTCACTACCGGTTCGAACCCCTCCCCCCCCCCCGCCCTCTCGAAAACCCAGTGGGGGTGCGGACAGAGGTGGGGACGGTGTTGGTGGGACAGTGGTGAGGGGACAGCGGGACAGTGGTGGGGACAGTGGGACAGTGGGACAGTAGAGGGCCGGTAGTGGTGGGGACAGTGGTGAGGACAATGATGGGAACAGGGGGACAGTGGACAGTGGTGGGGACGGTGGTGGTGGGGACAGTGGTGTGGGCACAGTGGGAATGAGGTGGAAACAGTGGGACAGTGGAGGGTACAATGGTGGTGGGGACAGTGGTGAAGGCGGTGGCGAGGACGGCGGTGGGACAATTGGACAGAGGTACAGTGGGGACAGTGGTGGGACAGTGGGGACAGTGGTGGGAACAGTGGGACAGCTCAGTGGGACAGCGGAGGAGTCAGTGGGATAGTGGGGACAGTGGGGATAGTCGGGCAGTGGTTGGGGCCGTGGAGACAGTGGGGAGAGTGGAACCGTGGTGGGAACAGTTCTGGGGACAGCGGGGACAGTGCGACAGTGGTGGGGCCACTGGTGGGGACAGTAGGGCGGTGGTGGAACCAGTGGGGACAGCGGTGGTGAGGACAGTGGTGCTGGGAACACCAGTGGGGGATGTGATGCGGACGGTGGTGGGGACCGGGAGTCGTTTGCTGGCGG